AATAAATTAAATTTATTTTTTAATTTTATAATAATAATAATTATTTAGAACTAATTAAATTTATAATAAATAAAAAATACATATTTATATATATAATTTATTAATATATTATTAAAAAATACATATTTATATATATATATATATATATATATATATATAAATTATTTATTTATATATATAAATAAAAATACTTTGAAATATTTTAAATTATATAATGATTATATACGGATAACAATTTATTTATATCCCCCTTCTCTTCTTCTTCTTTTTTTTTTTTCAATTTAATACAAAGAATGAAAAGTAAACGAAAAAGTTTAAGTTGTGTGAGTGGCAATCTCAAAAGTTTCTATTATAAAACTCACTCCAAGGATCTTTCTCTTATACGGATTAAAGGGCATAAAAAGCACAGAAATGCAATCAAAAAGTAACCCCTGCCCCTCTTATTTCTCTTTTTTTGTTATTGTGTGTGTGTGTGTGTGTGTGTATCTGTATGAAGAAAACTCGATTAAATTGTTTGTTAAAAAAAAAGAAAAAAAATAAATAAATATCTACACATAGAAAAATCGTATCAAAACCGTAACCAAAGAATCGTCCTTTATCCCTTATACCTTTCTTTTTTTTCGAGTCCCTTCGAATTCACTTAGGTATTTCTACCTACCCCTATTATTATTTAACTCTCAAGAGAAAATAGTGATGAGAAAGAGAGAAAGAGAGAAAGAGAGAAAGAGAGAAAGAGAAAGAAGGGGAATAAGAGAAACGTGCACCGTATGCGTGTGTTTGTATCCTTTCCTTTTCCCTCCTCCCCCGCCCCCTCCCTCGCCACCTTCTCTACACCCTCTTAGTCGTTCGTAGCTTTGACTAATTTACCAACTAATTAAATCTCAGAAGCGCGAGACTCCGGTTGAGAGATTATAAGGGTAACACCGCTTACCAACTAAATATGAAGTTCAGATAAACGAACTCAAATTTGTTTCGATTTTTTCTTTTTTTTTTTTTATTTAATTATAAAACCAAAAATATAGATGAGAAAATGAAAAAATTAAAATACGAATGAAGACAAAAGATAAAAAAGAAAAAAAAGAAAGAAAGAAAGAAAGAGAGAGAAAGAGATAGGTTAGTTTTACCAAATAACATACTATCTCTCTCTCTCTCTTATATATATATATATATATAAAGGGGTTGGGGTGGTCTTTTATTCGACGTCGATGGGTTAAATCGTGCGTGACGATGAATGTTACCGGATTCGAAGCGAACCGAACTGAACCGAACCGTATCTTGAACTGAAAAGAGTAGGGGTGGGAGGGGGGGAGGGGGTTGAAAAAAAACTGACGGCTAAAAACGAAGAGTAAGAGACGAAAGGGTGAAGAGGGTGAGGACGAAATTTTTCAACACTACGAAATTTTACCTCTTACATTTAAACTCTTCCAACACCTCCACCTCATTCCACCCCTACCTCAACGTTCTCTCTTTTACTATATCACCCTTCTTCCTTCCTTCCTCTTGCCATACTCTCTCTCTCTCTCTCTCTCTCTCTCGACATTCTGAACGGTGCATTATTTCCGGAGTACCGGACTACGACGACGATGCTCTCGGGCGGTGCATTAATTGACTATAAATTCGGTCTCCGCATTAATTCGCCTATCTCGAGCAGCTTCCCGTCTACGCCATCTCATACCCCCTCCCCCAAACCCCTATCCTACGTCTCGTTCCTCATTCATCCCCCTAACTCTCTATCTCTATCAACCTTCATCCTTGTATACGATCATTCTCTTACTCTCTCTCTCTCATTCACACGTACACACATCAACCTACTCTCTCTCTCTCTCTCTTTCTCTCTATCTCTCATTCACATGTATCACACCATGAATTTATTCTCTTTCTCTCTCTCTCTCTCTATTTTTTTAATACATGAATTTAAATCATTGAACTTACTTTTAATCATTTTAATGATACAAATGTACCTTTTGTACCTTTTTGTCTTATGTTCTTTTCTTTTTCTTCTTTTTCCAGGTCGAACGCACGATCCTACGTACACCCTTTACAGATTGGGTGAAAGACTTTCAACAGGGGCGAGATTGTACGTTGAAACTGGTAGAGCTGATGGGTTAGATGCCGGCGGTGAATCACAAAATACCCTTCACTCTTTCACGGGTCCGCCAATACCACAGGGCGAGGGTACCAGCATTGCCAGAGCCTTTCTAGATGGAAATCATACTTTAATAAGCATCATGGCAAGAATCAATCCAAGTCCTGATTGGTTCGTTGGGGTTGATTCATTTCAACTTTGCGTTGAAGGCAATTGGGTTGACACTGTCACCGTTGAGGTAAAGATTACATCTAATTGTAAAAAAAAAAAAAAATTGTAAAACATGTTTGAACAATTTTTTAAAAAATCCAATCTCTTTGTATCTTATTAATTGATTATTTTATTATGCATACTATATTTAAATAAATTTGCATAATATTGAAATAACTTTTTGCAAAATATTTCCCACAAAAAAATTGCAATACTATTGGTAGATCAGTAAAATAAAAAAATTATAGTAAAATTAGTAATTCCAGAAATATATATCTAATCGATTGAACTTATTGGTGGGAGTTGGGTTGGTAAGAAAAAAAATCCACTTTCTAGTTGATGATGGTCCCTAGTCTCATTAAAAAATACGCAAAAAGCATGGGAGATAGAAAATCTTCTCACACTCGATTATAAAAAAGAAAAAGGAAAAAAGAACAACCACCACCATCACCATCACCATCACCATCACCTCCTATCAATGTGTGTGTGTGTGTATGGTGTTCCGTGTAAAATTGCATTTCCTTTTTCCTTTCTTACTTTCTCTTTTCTTTTTCTCTTTCATTTCTTTCTTTCTATTTTTACAGCTCGACCCTTTAGACGGTGGTACGGATAACGGGTTCACATTTACGGCTGCCAATTGGCCTACGCAACCTCAAGGAATCGCCTATAGAATCACATCCCGTTACCCGGCACATCCCGCGGGAAGTTTCTATTATCCGAATCTACCTCGACTACCACCAATAGCAACCCTTACATTCACCAAGGTAATATAAACATTCTCTGTAAAATATACTTTTTTCTTTTTAATTCAGTATAGAATGGTTGTTTCTGAACACCTTGTATAAAACACGTGTATAATAGCTATTATAATAGTAGAGTGCATTAGATTATTAAAATAATTGTTAATTATACGAAAGAAATGTAAATTGTTGTTTAAAACCACCTAGTATATGATCGGAGTACTGTCCTCTTCGAAATTCACATTCAGACTGACAGGTTGTTGTCATCTATGAAAATTCTTACATTCAATGTTGTTTACATGACTTTCTGAACATTATACATGTGTGCAACGGTAATAATTCACTTAATTAATAGAATTTAAGATTATAACGTTCTAATTTGAACATTTTTTTTATTCTAACGTAATTATTTTGACACTCCTGTCCAGTGATGACTTCCAAGCTAAAATTTTGCTTTAATACAAATAGAGTGCATTAGAATATTAAAATAATTGTTAATCAATCGAAATATTGAAAGGGAAGATTCAAAGTACGCGCGCAAATTATGTAGTCCTGTGGTGGCCTCTTTCGGTCAGCGTGTTCACTACCATTTTCTTCGGGTATTCCCCCGTGTGCGAAATGCGGTTTTACACGTGCAAGTTATTTAAACAATAATACGTTCAATATAAATATATATTCTTTTTATGTAAAATCAAATAATTATAACTTTAATTTCTATTTATTAGAAATAATATTCCCGTTAAACAAATAGAAGCAAAATAAAATTACTAAACGCAACGTAATAAAACAAATTTCTTTGAGAGGAAAAAGTTATTATAATATTATTGACAAAATAATTCGTCAAATAAGAACAATTGACAATTGAAGACAAACAAAAGTATAAAGTTTTAATGAATGGATGACCAAGAAGAAACATTTTCGTGAAACTTACATAAAAGAACACACACATATACATTTGATAGTGAACGATTACACCACACACATACACACGCACACATATATACATAGTAAAAGTAATACCCTCTTTTCTTGAAACAACGTTAGCTTTCCAAACGTTAGGGGTTGGTTAGTTGAGTATAGTGGTAACTGAGGGGTAGCAGGCAGAAGGGGGTTACTTCATCCACTGTCAATATTTATCTATTGGAATCTCACGAACAGTTACGTAAGACCAACGCGAATCCTAACCCCCACACACATACCCACAAACACATATAACATACCCTTCACGTTTCCCTTCATTTCAACACCTGAGTCTCCCCCACCCCTTTAAGTGAACATTTTCCTTGAAACAAGTCTCCTATCCCTTTTTCTCACCCCCATTACATTTCACTTTCTCTTTCTATCAAAGTTGAGTTTGCTTGAAGGTAGTTCATCCCTACACTACTACTACTACTAGTTCATCCCTACACTACTACTACTACTACTTATATCTGTAGCTTGGTGTCTTAGCAACATTTACGTGACACCCCCGTGTGTGGTAACAGGATTCGAGAGGTACCGACTCGTGTTAACTTGCTAATTATCTTCTCATCCCCTTTCACATCTTCTAACCATTTCATCTAACCCTTCCTTCCTTCCTTCCTTTCCTCTAACTCTACTATACTCCCTTTCCCTTTTCCAGTATATATATATATATATATCTCATAATGTTAGACCTAGTAGTAGACAACATCATCTTTCCCTCTCTCTGATACCATAACACTTTGATTTGTGACACCTTCCTGATGAGAAGGAACAAACTTTATGAAGTTTCTAACGATTCTAGACACACACACACACATATATATATAATCTCTCTTTCTCATTCTCTTTCTCATTCTCTTTATGACTTTATATATAGTTTGCTTTAAAATAAACCTATCTACCTATACTCGCTTTTAATCCTAACATGGTTCACCGTCGTTTACGATGCTAATCCGTTTGATTACACTTTCAAGTGTTTTTATCATCCCCTCATCATCCCTTCAACCTTCTTCTTCATGTTTAATTATTAGATATGCTTTAAGTGTGTGTATCTTTGAATATAAATTATAATATTGTAGTATTGATGAAAGAAATACTTGAATATTAATTCTCTTAAGTTTATTTAAGTATATTTATATTATAAAATAGATTTATTTAAATTTGTTAATGTAATATTAATTTGAAAATTAATGTTTTAATAGAAGAGATACGTTTAAATATATATATATATATATAATTCGTGATAACGGATATCACGAAACTTGAGTTTTGCTATCGATATAGTTTACTAAGATAAAATAAAATAAAAGAGAAAAAATATAAGAAAGAAGAGAAATTCGATTAGACGTGTTTCTCTCTCTCTCTCTCTTTCTTTTTCTTCGTACATTCGAAGAAATTCGATATATCGTAATGACATCTCGATGAGAAAGTACAAGAGACTGTAATCGATCTCAACAGGATATATCGAAAAAGAAACATTTCGATTTTCGTGATGCTCGATATATAAATTGACGTGTAACGTTTAACTTGAATTTCCAATATAAAAAAAAAAATCAAACAAAGAAAAAAAATATAAAAAATATTTTGTATCATACATTTAAACAATAAGATTAAAATACAAAATTTTTCTATAATTATAAAATATAATATTATATATAAAATTTAATCATTTTATATTATTATTATATTTAAAATTATATAATGTAATAAAAGAAATATTAGAAAATTATAAATTAAGTATAAACATGATTAATTACATTAAATATTATATAATTATAATATATTAAATCTAAAATTTTATATAAAAATGATAAATATTTAAACAATAAGATTAAAATTACGAAAATACACCTAAACACAAACAAACAAATATATAAATAAATAATAAATAAATTCACGAATCATGATATTCGGAGTTTCATCGTCTATGGTGACGATGGTGGTGGTTATGGGTGGTGTGTTGGGTTGACCACAGTTAGACTCGGTGACTATTGAGATCACTCCTGTCGTTAATTTGTGCCCTTAGGGACTGTTTAAACGTGTGAGTTAGTATCGTCGTCGACTATTGAAGATAAGGGGGTGAAGGGTGGGAAGCAGGGGGAGGAGGAAGGAGGAGTGTCACGTCAGTAAGCCGAATCGGTGTGGAGAAGAGGATTAGTTAGATTAGACCAAAAGCAATGCAATGGTTGTTGCCAACTGCACGGACTATTGCAACCCCTTACAACGATATGTGTAATACACCATACAGATGTACACTCTCACACACATATGTGAGTATATACATATATATGTATAGTTACATATGCATTTAAACCTTCTGTCTTTCTATCTGTGTATAAATTTAACTACAAATCTCAACTTCTATGGAAGGGTGGATGGAAAGAGGGTATAACTAACATTTAGATAAGAAAATATAGTAATAGAACACACCAATACTATCGTATGTTTCGATTTTTACATATGTTGAATTTCAAATGACATGAAACATCCTAATATGAAAAACATGTGACGTGAGATGTGGTGTGTCATCTTTTGATATTCATTTAAAAAAATTTATCAATGAAATTTAACTATCTATCTATCTATTATCTATCTCTGTTATCGTAGTAATAACAATTTTATTAATTTTTTAATAAAAAAAAAGAAATACATTACATTTTTTATAAACTGAAATAAATATTCAAATTATGTTATAATATACTTCGATTGATAATATTGACAAAAATAAAGTAACAAATTAAATAAAAATAAAATAAAAAAATAAAATAAAATATAAATAAAAATAAAATAATATAAATATAAAATAAAATACAAATATAAATAAAATAAAATACAAATAAAATACAAACACAAATAGAAAAAAAAAAATAAAATATAAATAAAATAAGATAAATGTATGGTTCAAATTGTCAATAATAATTATATATGAATATAAATTAATATAAATCTTTTTTTTTTCTACTTTATTATTAAAAACAAACAAAAAAATAGTACATTTTCTTTCTTTATAAAGCAAGAAAGCAAAATGTTATACAAAATTCTATACCACACTTTTTCGACACTTTATTTTTTCATGAAAAATCGTTAGCTACGAAATATCACCACCCTAAACATATATATACATATATATATATATATATATATATATATATATATATATATATGTGTGTCAAAATGAATTCCAAGCACGTAAAGGTAGTGGAACAAACAAGAAGGAGGAAAGAAAGAAAGTAAGTAAGGAAATAAGGAAGGTAGGAAGGAAGGAAGGAAACATAGGGAACCAACACAAGCCCTTACAGACACGTTTCGCCCTTTTTGAAGGCCAAGTGAGAAGAGGATTCGTTATTACAGTGTATGCTCGTCTTCTCTTATCTTTTCCTTCTTCTTCTTCTTCTTCTTTTACTTTTTTTCTTTTTTTTTTTTTCGTCCTTACGTATGTGGATACATGAGTCGTGCGTAGAAAAGAGAAAAATACAGAGAGAGAGAGAGAGAGAAAGAAAGAAAACGACCATATTAAATTTCCAAGTGCGTACCTCACGTTGAGAGATGCATTATAAATTTTTTTTTTCTTTTTTAGGATAATATGAAAAAATAAACAACAGAGCTCTCTCTCTCTCTCCCTCTCTCTGGTATTATTTTTTGTTTTATCTTACATGACTGGAATTGGAAATTTTTTTTATTATATTTTTTTTTTATATTTATTGACACCAAGGTATCAGTCACGGGTGACTGACACGTTCAACTATTTTGACGAAATGCATTCAATTAGGGTGACGCCACATTAGCTTCAAGGTAAATTTTAATGGAAGCGCCAAATATTATTAGAATAGGATTGAGAAATCAACAAGGAACACAAATTTTACAACACAACATTTTACCCATAACTTTTTTGTTATTCACTGACTTGTTCATAAAATTAAATGATAAAACATCAATAAACGTACTATTCACAGTTCACGAAATAAAATCACTCTAGCTAGCACGTTTTATCATAATAATTCTTTAAGGTTATATTTACTACATTATTTTGTACTACGCAAGTAGTTGAAATTGTCAATAAT